GTAGTAGTAGTAGCAGCAGTATAGCAATAGCATCAGGAATAGGAACAGGAATAGTAATGGTAATAGTCATAGTAGTAATACTAGTAGCTAAGCCTTCTGAATCCTCCTGGGTCTGCAGGCTGTGATCCCTACATCTGACCATACCCAAGCATGCGCAGGACGCACTCCTCTGCCAGCCCCCGGATGACCTCCATGGCCTCAAGGCGAGGTCTTCAAGATGAGCGACATGCAAATGGTGTTGAGATCAACAAAAGTCTAAACATATTATAGGGGGAAAATTATTTTTCCCTTATAATATGGTTATTCTGCGCATTCCTCCTCCGACTTCTCAAGCGTGGCGACAAGCGGGCCAAAGTCTAACGTTGAAGCTGCCGCCGCTGATGCTGCTGCCCGTACCTCTACAAACGTTGAAACGAGACGAACAAGCACCGTCATGAAAACAACGACCGCGGCAGCAACAAGAAGAGCAGCAGCAGCAACAACACCAGCAGCAACAACAACAACAACAAAGACAATCGTGAGGGTTGTTTTTGCCCAAACAGGAACTGTTGGGGTCCTCTCCTCAAACGAAAAAGGAACGCGCTTGACGGCATGGATGGCACGCCCTTCTGGAGCGTGGGGCCCGCGGCTTTGGATGGGTAGGTTTGGATGGGTGGCCTGCGGCTGTGGAGCTCAAACTAGAGCATTTTCAATTTGATTTTCGGGCTTAGGGACTGCATTGAGATCCATATTTGTTAAAACGAAAACCAAATCCGTTTAGTGGGCCTTGGAAAACGCATTGGGGCTTGGTCGGTGGCTTCGAGAGCTCAACTAAAGCCTCGGAATGGGGCCAGGGGCACCAGCAAAGCTGAGACAGCTTTGAATGCGTTTGCCAAGGATTGAAAAATGTGCCGTGAAAACCAAAATAAAGCATTTTTGGTGCGAATCTCGTAGTGTAAGGACGGACGGCATTGAGCTCCAGATTTGTTGAAACCAAGGCCGAAGGTGTCAAGCAGCTTTGGAATTGGTCGGAGGCTTCAGGAGCTCGATTTGGGTTCGGGGACTGGGGCCACCAGCTATGTTTTCCAAGCCTTGAAAAATGCATTCTGGGTATTGAGACCAAACTAAAGTGTTTTCAATGCGGTTATCGGGTTTCGGGACTGCCTTCAGCTCCAGATTGATGGAAACGAAAGCCAAATTCGTTTATCAGGCCTTGTGGAGCTTGCGCGCGCATTAGAGGTGCGAGACTCGTTGTCAGTTACGTGCGATTTGCAAGGCTCACGAAAACGTGTGGAGCTTGGCTGGGCTTGGATGCAAGGAGAGGAAGCCGGGCCTGCCCTATGTGGAAAGCTACTGCTGCTCCTACTGCAACTGCTACTGCCACTGCTGCTACTGCTGCTACTGCTACATTTTTACTGCTGCTGCTACTGCCGCTGCTACTGCTACTGCTACTCCTAC